GGCGGCCATTTTGGGCGCCATCTTGAATTGGGGGCACCAGCATCATTTTTGGACTTGACAACATCGAAAATCGGATTCTACACGAAAAAAAGAAGAGAATGATGTATCATTCAAACTTTATTACACAAGCTGCACACAGGAGTACATCCGCAACCGCACTAGACGTCAGGAGTTTGTCACCAGATGGTGTTTTTTGGACCACTTTGAGGGCCTAGATGAGGGTGATGGCACAGGCTAGAGGGTGGCAGACAAAGTTTTTCTAGTCACCCTGGGTATGATCTTTAATAATAGACTTGTCTGCCGAGCGTCAGGAGTTTGTCACCAGATGGTGTTTTTTGGACCACTTGAGGGCCTAGGTGAGGGTGATGGCACAGGCTAGAGGGCGGCAGACAAAGTTTTTCTAGTCACCCTGGGTATGATCTTTAATAATAGACTTGTCTGCCGAGCGTCAGGAGTTTGTCACCAGATGGTGTTTTTTGGACCACTTGAGGGCCTAGATGAGGGTGATGGCACAGGCTAGAGGGCGGCAGACAAAAATTTTCCGTTTCAGTGTATGCAAGGCTATCGATTTAGGGGGTCAAAACATGTATCCCGAGTTTGTCACTCAAAGTCGTCTGGCTCTTGGACTACTACTCCGGAGTTCCAAAAGTTGCTCAGGGTATTTCCGCTGGTTTCAAAGGTGAAAAATCACGCCCAATTCATCTCAATATCGCGGAAAATATGCTATTCTTTCAGCAGAGGCGTTAGTCCTAAACGATTACTCACTTTTCATCTCGACATCGCTGAAAACGCGCCTTTATCATCGAGGCGCGCATTTAATTCATGATGTCTGTAGTTTGTGATAGGTAAAGAGCTAAAAACCCCTTCAACTTCGCGTGATACCACATACCTGGGTGATTTCACGATAAGAGGAATAGTCGTGTCGCCGTGGGTTATGAACGACATAGGGCAAAACGATTGAAAACCAAATTAATTAATCAATAGGAATGATGTCCCTGAACCTATCCATGCTAAAAAATATGATGAATTATTATTATATTTAATGATATGAGACTTTAAAGGCCGAAAATGTCCGGTCGGTTACGCGTCGCCAACCCCGATTTTGAAGCAAAAGAGCAATTTGCGGTAACATATCAGTACTGATCATGAACTCTTTGGCAATATTTGCTGAAAAGAGACTCTACTGTTCAAGAAAATTGCCAGTTTGAACTGAAATGTTTATTATTGAGCGAGAGAAGTCATAAGAAAGAGGTGTCGCCACATTTGGCAACAAATTTTCTCAGTTTTATTATGTGCAGTGTTTATCTCGCCAGATGGAGTCAGGAGTTTCAAAACTGCCATCAAATCGTTCGCTGAAGTCTTCTTGACAAAACTATTACTGATAAGTCAGTTTTTTTTACGATGAAAACTTTAATTATTATGAAAACCAGTGATTTTTACGTGTGTAGCACTAATTCCTCACTACGCAAAAACCTCAATTTAATAGAATTAAACTAAAAGGAAGTCTCCAAACTTTAGAAAACTTTTAAAGCAGCATTAATTCCACCTCATAACTCAAGAATTGCCAAGTTTCATCTTTTGTATCATCTTTAATTTCACATTTTTGGGTGTCGGTTACGCTGTGTCTGTTACGTATCCGACACAATTTGGCAGGGCCGCCATGTTTGCGTGGACCTCCAGCAGTCCCGCGGGAAGCGCTGATACCTGATTCAATGGCTTGTTTATCAATCACTTTAACTTTGCACTGAATCAAAATAGAGCGTGCCAAAGCTGGAAAAAGGAAGTTTAATACCTTTAAAATGAGGTAATGAAATCCTGTTAAAATTGGTGCACTTTTATTTCTAAGGTATTTCACATTTTAACTATTCCTGTTATCGTGAAATCACCCACCTACTACAGAGTTCGAATAGTTGCTCAGGGTGTTTCCGCTAGTTTCAAAGGTGAAAAATCACGCCCAATTCATCTCAATATCGCGGAAAATATGCGATTCTTTCAGCAGAGGCGTTAGTGCTAAACGATTACTCACTTTTCATCTCGACATAGCTGAAAACGCGCCGTTGACATCGAGGCGCGCATTCAATTCATAATGTCTGTAGTTTGTGATAGGTAAAGAGCTAAAAATCCCCTTTAACTTCGCGTGATACCACATACCTACTCCGGAGTTCGAATAGTTGCTGAGGGTGTTTCCGCTTGTTTCAAAGGTGAAAAATAACGCCCAATTCATATCAATATCGCGGATAATATGCGATTTTTCCTTTTTCAGTCCTACACGATTACTCACTTTTCATCTCGACATCGCTGAGAACGCGCCTTTAACATTGAGGCGCGCATTCAATTCATGATGTCTGCGGTTTGTGAATGGTAAAGAGCTAAAAATCTCCTTCAACTTCACGTCCACATACTTACTCCGAAGTTCGAATAGTTGCTCAGAGTGTTTCCGCTAGTTTCAAAGGTGAAAAATCACGCCCAATTCATCTCAATATCGCGGAAAATATGCGATTCTTTCAGCAGAGGCGTTAGTCCTAAACGATTACTCACTTTTCATCTCGACATCGTTGAAAACGCGCCTTGAACATCGAGGCGCGCATTCAATTCATGATGTCTGTAGTTTGTGATAGGCAAAGAGCTAAAAACCCCTTCAACTTCGCGTGATACCACATACCTACTCCGGAGTTCGAATAGGTACTCAGGGTGTTTACGCTAGTTTCAAAGGTGAAAAATCACGTCAAATTCATCTCAATATCGCGGAAAATGTGCGATTTTTTAAGCGGAGGCGCTAATCTAGAACGGTTTCTACGGTTCCAACAGTATCTCACTTATAAAATCAAAAAAAATTTCGCGTTATTTGCCTTAATATCGCGGTACATTTGAGGTGGGCTTAAAGTATCTGAAAACCGACTATAAATTTTGAACAAATAGATATTCAATGGTTCCCATTGGTATCTTTGCGTATTCTAGCACGGAGCTCAATGTTTCAACGGAAATTCTTGGCTGTAAGAGGTCCGATAAAATGCTAGGGATCGTCATTAAGCGACAGATATGTTTTTTCGTTCGTAAGTCGGAGTGTCAAGAAAATTAAGTAACTTTATCAGTCGAACATTTGATGATAAGTTCCTTAAGTGCATGCTCAGTTGTAGTGATGATATATTGGCAGAGGATTTTGACCTGGACTTATTTGAAGGTTAAGAATTTCCCAATGAAATTAGATCGAATTTTGCAAAAAGGAACCAAGATCATTCCAATTTTACTAGGATTATTCAACTTATATTCTTCGCAATGAAATTACTAAGATCAAGCAAAAAATTAAATTTACGGAGGAGATTTTCGTCTAGAATTATAGTTAATAGAAAGTAAAGATAAAACTTATTTAGATTATTAGTTTAAATTTTCATGGTAAAAAAAGGTGCACAATCTTAAAGACATTGAAATGCTCTTGGTTCCTTTGTGCAAAATGCAATCCAATTAATCCATTTAAAATTGAATACGAGTATTGTAAGGTTGAGCGATCAGACAATGTGTCAATTCAGGAAATTAAAATGACGTACCTTATAAGAAGCTCGTGGCAATGAATTCTGGAACAGAATAAAGAAACGATAATTATTGATAAGCTTTACTCAAGATCGGAGTAGAATACAACTGTGATAAGTTAAGTTGACAGCCGATCGATTCACGTTTTTATTTTTCGTTCGATTCAGATCGATCGAATACACACTATCTCGTAGCATGCGGACTGTATCTCTTTTTTTAACTGGACAATTCCCCTTCTGCTGCGTCTGTCGCAATTGTTGTGTTGTCACGAATATATTGTTTGAGCTCATTACATACTCGGCTCTCTGAAGGCGTTTTATGTGCACAAGTAGCGCAATCCGTTGAATAACGAACGAAGTAGGGAGGAAGTGATTCATCCAAACTCACTTCTGTTGTTCTCCCACAGATTGCGCTACTTGCGCACATAAAACGCCTTCAGAGTGTCAAGTAAGTAATGAGCTGATATCAGCACGCACATCTTAAGAACAACAATGGGTCTGTTACACTCGGGAGGGATTTGGAGTTTAATGAGCCATTCCTATGTAAATTTTCACGAGAAAACGGTTGGTGTGGTTCAAAACATTCTTAGTTTGATACTAAAGCTGCAAAAGCTAAATAAAGTTCAAAGTTCCAACGGAGGCCTCTCATTGGTCGTCTACGTCACAACCAGCAATCTTATTTCCCGCCGTTTCGACGCACCTGTGCTTCCCCATAAGGAATTCAAAGTCGTTTTTCTAAAACGAATTTCGGTCGATATTTAACTTATTTTACCAAATTTTCTTGCAGATATCAGTTCTTCACATCCTCTACTTTACATATTTATCAACGAATATGTTCAAATTTCATCATATTAAAGTTTAATACATGTAAGGAAGTCCCGAAAGTGTGGTTATGTCTCCCTTTAGGGGGTTTTGCTGGTCAAGTTGATGCTGTTTGCTCAAATACATCAACGCATGTATTAGATATATTGTGTAAAACCGAGTTTGTATTCATTATTTGACTCTTAATGATGACTTATTGTCCCAGTATTTCAGTGCAAATGATGTATGAGTGAGGTATTCCTGATCTGTCCTGCTTACTGCAACAGCTACCTTTCATTGGAAGTTTTAAAAATATGATGGAAACTATTGACTTAAATATTTACCCCAGATATCATACCTATATAGTTTTTGTATATACTCTTTGCATCATTAGTTGTAAGTAATTATTAAAATACCATACATTCATCCAAACAGGCACTGGATTAATCGGAAGGGTAATAACTCCTCAACCGGACGGGTGATTAAGGACCTCCAACAGTTCATAGCTGGTGCTTGGTTGGCAGAGAATCTTACCTTATGTAAAATTGATGGTATTTTCAACTAATTTACTTATGAGCAGACAGATTTATACAAGTGAATATGTTCAAATGAGTACGTTGATCCCTCAGCTAGTCAGCTAGCGCAGCTGAGCAAGAAACATTTCATGATGGTATTTTCAACTAATTTACTTATGAGCAGACAGATTTATACAAGTGAATATGTTCAAATGAGTACGTTGATCCCTCAGCTAGTCAGCTAGCGCAGCTGAGCAAGAAACATTTCATGCAAAAAAGTAGAATCTAATGATCCAATAATCCAATATCCAATGAATTAGATTCAGAAAGCTGCATCATGCCACGGCAGATAGTTCCTAGGAATAAGGAACCTAAAACTACACTATATGAGAGTTTTACCGTGAGAACAGGACTTATATGTATCCCAGATAAGATTGTAAACATAACCTCACTTTCGTGACATGCTTTGATGCATCGAAAATAATTAAATCATCTGATGTGATTTGTAAGTTACTAGGGATGTTTTTATCAACTAGAAAGTATAAAGAGTCTATTATCGCAAGAAAATTTGATGAATACGGCCTCCAACAGTCTGATAATTCCTTTTGAAAATTTGCCTCTCGACCCCTTATGGGGAAATCCATGTATTTGTAAAATAAACAAACGTGGGGTATAAGTTGTGACGTCACAAAATGGCATCACTCTCCCGTCATTTGTAGTTTTAAATTTTCCCGCCAAAATTTTTTGAACTTTTGGGTGCTTTTTTGGGGTGTTTGGGAGGTCCAAAAATTCTGGGAAAAATTCATGAAGCTCAGAATGATGCACTTTATTAGAAAATGAATTAAAAAAAATAGGTGCAACAGACCCATTGCTGCAGGCGCAGCTGAAGGCGAATTGCTGGAGCACACAAAACGACTTCGGCGAGTCGAGTACGTCGTCACCTTCCAGTCAAAGTATCACAAGCGCCATGCGACGTTTTAAAATTTCCATTGTCATTGTATTTTTTTACAGAGAAATTGTTCAACGAAGCTGTCCGAAAATTTCACTGAATTTTCTTTGCACTGCCGATAAAATCCAGTGAAATTTTCAGATAGATTCCACCAACAATTTCTCTGTAAAAAAATTAAATCGCGGCGGAAATTTTGAAACGTCGCATGGCGCTTGTGATACTTTGGCCGGGAGGTGACGACGTATGTAATGAGCCGAGATTAGCACGCACAACGTATTCGTAATAACAATTACTGCGGACGCAGCTGAAAGTGAATTTAAAACAATTGTAGAATGCATATTAATGAAATTTTTAGCTCTTTATTTAACATTATTACCAATAGAGTGTTGTATTAATGTTTTTTTTATGGGGGACTCTCTACAAAGGTATCACGATAAACTAAGTTTGAATGCAAAATGAAATATGCCGCGCTGTACATTTTCAGTCTACATAATCGCCCATTTACAATCGCCCAGTGGAAAGAAGTGAATGCGGTGGGAGGTACGTTTCCGGACGCCATCGGTGATGCGCATTTAAATGAGAGCTTAAAATACGCAACTTTGAACTATTTTCATGTAGGGTCAATATCGCTCCAGAAAATTCTTATTAACTAGAGGCCCTCTCTTTTTTCTTTTCTTTACAAAAAAACTGAATATTACTGAAAAACTGAATTTAGCTGCGGCGTGCATCGCGATATATTCATTGATCTCTGTCATTATCTGTGGAAAAGGATCGATAGAAAAGGTGTTCGCAACGAACACCTTAATGATCTATACTTTACCGCAGCTTCGAATGGGGTATATCGCCCCGCCAACTGTTTCAGAAAGGGGAAAAAGGGGGGTCACCATACGCCACCATGACTGTCTTTTGACAGTGAATATCTGATTATTAAAAGGAGGGGGGGGATCCAATGTGAGTTCATGCTCATTGATCCGATTCGATACAATCGATACAGATTGTGACGTGGCACTAATACCTACCCTATATACACACACAAACGACAGAATTTTTGAGACAGGTAAGGAACTAAGTTTTTCCTTCATTTTCGCGTGATACCACATTACATCCCTACTCCAGAAATCCAGTTTGCCGCCCATGCTGGAAAAAAAAGTCGCTTGGAACTAGAGTCCAGACTCTTAAAAACATCGACAAGAAAAAATACTATTGATTCAATCGGATTTTTGCTTAGATCGAGAACCAAGTCTCTTAGTTCAAGCGGATTTCCTTTTGATTCAAGCAAAAAGAAGATTGAATCAAGAGTATTTTTTCTCGTCATTGTTTTCAAGGGTCTGGAATCTAGATCCAAGCTAATTTTTTTTTCCAGTGCATCTTACGTAGGTACGTATCTCAATTTTCACGTGAGCCCTGTTTTACATGTAAACCCATGCTTTTTGGGACTCATGTGGGAATCGAGATACATCCCTTTCGCCAGAGGAGCGACGAGTTGCTCGCTTGATTTTCGCATGTAACGGACTCAAGCCAGGAAACAACGACAACTCCATACTCCTTTGCCAGTTTCTCAAACTAGAAAAATGTCACTAGATTTTTCAAAGTTGTTCTCGAGCCTATGGAGTTAATTTAAATTGAATCCGATTGGTTAAGTACGCGCCCTGCGTACCCGTACACCTAAGTCAGTTTCTCCGGCCGGGAACTTAGACCTCTAGATTTTCCGTAGTTTTTCCAAGGATCTTTTCTCACTTATGGATATTTTTGAAAGTTCGATCCGAGAGAGTAACCTGCTATAAATCATAGAGTTAATACAACTGTTTCCTTTGATTTTTTTCACTTAACGATGCGAGCATGATGGTTACGAATTATGGAATTTCGAGTTTTCTATTGCGAGGAAATTCTCATGCTGTGATAATTTTTGAAATTTCTAATAGAGAAACTAAAAAAAAAAAAACGCGCTTTAAAGATGAAACGGACGAGTAGCGTTGACTTTATAATTTGGCGCCTTTTTAACCTTCCCCGATTGAAATCGGAATTTCCACAAGAGTCAAAATGTATGACATGACAGTTTAACAACAAACTCAAAATTCTGCGCGCGAGATGGTCATCCTTGGAAAATGGCAAAGGGGCACGCACAGAAATTATTGTCCCGACTGTTTGCGTATGCTCAATGATTTTTGGCGCCTTTTTAACATTCTCCCATTAATATTCCAAAGTTCTCCATACGCGACGAAATTAGCTTGGAAAAAGAACTTAAAATTCCGCGCTACGGATGGGCATCCGACGTGAGTGGCAAATTGGCATAGATTTTCCATTCCTTTCCAACGAGTTTCATCGGCTGCAGCGTGTGTGGAGCATTTTGAACTTTCTCAAATTCAAATTGATCTCCTGTCTCAAATCACTTACTTCATGGATGCAGATCTTGTACTCGCACGTCGCACAGTTAAATGCGAAAATCGGGCGGGTAACTATCCGAACTTCGGAGTGTGTATGTGATGTGGTATCACGCAAATTTGAAGGAAAATCTTAGTTTTTGGCCGATCTCATATAAATGACGTTGGTGTGTGAAGGTAAAACCCCTGAAACGCTCAACGCTGCGTCACGACGCAGCGCGAGCACTAATCGCAGCACCAGTTGTGTTTTTCAAAAGACGAAGATCTAAATCAGAAAATTTTATTTTGAATTCGCGTGAGACGCAATTTTGACCCGATATGAATTAAACCATGACATCACTTCCGATTTCTAATACTGATACACCTCACTCGTTGCTATAACGATAGGAGGACTACATTGTGCCACCAGGAACTACAATTTCTGCCTCATTTAAAAACGACGTGAGTGCCATTTTTTCCTTTAAAGATAGGTTCTTCTATGTATGGTCCAGAAATTGTAGTTCCTTATTGCAAAATGCAGTCAGTCCAACAAAGAGTTCCTTTTAGCTGTGACAGTTAATTCATTCTGAGGCAGATTAAGATTAGGTCAAATTTAAGAGGGAAGAAAAGGAAAAAGTAAAATTTTTAGATACGTACCAGCAGGAGGTTATTCAATTGCCCGACGCCAGGCTGAAAGCACTCACAACACTATCACTGAGAAACTGAAAAACTTGGCCATAAAAAGATGTAAAATAATAATTAATATTGGTTGATGACACAGATTCGTTCGTCTATACGCTGATTTAAATTCTGCCCATGTTACATAGTGTTCAAAATACATACGAAAATGAATAACAATAAAATAAAATAAAAATGGTTGAGAGATAATGATTGATAGTTTTAAGGAGTCGACTGGATTCATATCAGAAATATATAAATGGTAACTCAGTGGTTATTCTTAGTGTAAAGACGTTAATAGCCTGAGTCGCTGAATGTCTCAAAATTATAATAACTAACTAACTTAGTTCCGTGCTCAATTCAAAGCAAACAAAAATAGAGCTTAACCATGTTCATTATCATAAAGTCTGATCGTAATTCGAGAAAATATTTGTCGTAGGTTTAATAGTCTGATCGCACATGCTATGCTGTCCGAACAATATTATTTCTATTAAACCTGGACGTTTGGTGTCCGGAGGAGGTTATAGAGCATCAACATTTGATTAAATTTTGGTTGGAGGTTATACCGCTGTGAAAGGGTCCTAAATCAAATCTTGGTGGATTTCTTACACTTTAATTGTTGAGTGAGTAGGTAATGGGTTCAGCAACTAACAATGCCTCCCCGCAATATGTAATTGAAGGGAGGGGGGGGGATGTGAACAGTAATTGGGACTCAAATTGTAAAAATAGTTACAATTGAACAGAGATACAAAAGGATATTTCATTTATATTAAATTTTAACTGTTCCATGGGAGCTGCGTATGCAGCCCTCATTTTCAACCAATTTCTACCATATGGACATATATTCCTCTCCAATTTTCCTGATTTAACAGAAACATAAAAACCAAACTGTTGAGTTCAAATTGGCTTAAACATCTAAATACGGGTGTGTTTTGATGGATAATATAGCAAACAATTCAGTCACTGACATTTACAGTTTTGGTCTTTGTATCTATAATCCCCTCCGATTTCTCGAGGAGATAAAAAATATTGTAAAAATTAATTCGATCTCAGCTCATAAATCTGAATGCGGGGATGGAAGCGCGTTTTTAAGGCCAATGAAATTGCAGACGATTTCGTCATAATATAAGAAACATTTTCTGTCAAAAGGATCATCATTGTTCTCAAATTCTCTCATTACGAAGTATATCTTCACTAAAGCTTTCGACTCAACTCATAAATCTGCACAGCTCAACTGAGGAGTTAGGTGCAAAAGGGGCGTCATTGACAAAATCGCGTTTTGAGTTATTCGTGTTCAAAGTTTGTTGTTGTACAAATGAAATGTATGTTTAAAGATATGAAAATAATGTGGTAAGTTTAAATATAGATCATTTTATCAAGTTTAAGTTTGTACAATTAGAAGCTCTGAATAATCGCGGGTTTTTTTTTAAATATGGAGGTTAGGTACATTCATTTTTAGCCAACCTAACAATAATAAAATTACTGTATCTCAGTGAATGTTTGACATAATAACATGAAAATTGGTACACCTACATTTTAGGATATGAGGATTCAGAAAAACCGGTCTCTGCAAAAGGGGCGTCATGGACCTAACGCCCCTTTTGCACCTAACTCCTCAACTAAGGCTTTCGACTCAACTCATAAATCTGTACAACTTAACTAAAGCTTTCGACTCGACTCATAAATGTGCACAACTTACATAGAGCTTTCGACTCGACTCATAAATGTGCACAACTTAACTAAAGCTTCCGACTCGACTCATAAAACTGCAAGGAGGTTTTAACTCGATCATAAATTTGAAAAAAGCTTTTGGCTAAATGCATAAAAATCTGCAAGGTGAAATAAATGTGATCTTGGAAAAGCGTGAAATTCTATCCTGAATATTCAGTTTCTACCATAACCCATACTTTTCTTATATTTCTCTCATCAATAAATAATTAACTATTACTTTCGCCTCTAATTATAATTTAATATAAACGCTGATAATACCAATTTTTTCTGTAGGTAGCGTCTGACTCAGTCACTACGCTTCTAGTGTATGAACTTACATTCTCCTCATATTCCTCTCATCTAAGAAAGAAAATATCAGAAGTATACTTTTTATTCAACCTGTGATCTAAAGGATGTGCTCTGACAGAGGATCACTAATTCCGTTAGAATACAGTTTCGTTGTATGCACTCAAACTTCTCTCATAACGAATACATTGCGTAAAAATCACTTTCAATTCGACCTATACATTTGCATGCTCATAATAATTTATAGAGTGCATCGTAGTTCGTATTCATGCTGAGACGGTGGATACTCCTTATGTTTCAATCATTTGCAAAGAAAGCTGCCTTTAAAAGAACATTTAACTCATCTCATGTGTTTGCGAAGAACTTTTCACTCACTCATCTCATAACTTTGCGAAGAACGTTTCACTCATCTCATAAATTTGCGAAGAACTTTCATCTCTGCTCATAAACCTATAAATACAAACGAATGCGCGTGAAAGCAATTAGTGGTAAATATTCAATGTCACGGGAGCTCCCGTGATAAGACGGCTGAGTTTTTCTCCCGGAAACCTTCATTCTTCTCTCATTTTCTCATTAGAGAAAGAATTCAGGATTTATTTCAACTTAAACTCATAAGTACATTGACACACTGATGAACACGTGTTTGGATGGAGAAAAAAAGCCCAATTCGGTCTCCTGACTTCAGTATACAGTTTTAATCTTCAGACATTTGAATTCCTCTCCAAATCTTCATTGGTCAATTATAATAATCAATTTGTACTCAACGCAACTCATAACCTGCAGCCTGACAGACACATTTCAGTTTAAATTACAGTCACAATAAAAATTACTCTACATCTTGGTGGTTTTTTTACCTACTCAAATAGGGATCAACAAATTAGACACCTATTATCTTCCATAAAAAGTGAGGATTATGAATAATTATAAATGACAACGATACATTAACTTTAAAATCAAATGAGTACTCAATGGAAGGATGTTTCGTCTTGTTCTTGACTCCGTTCGAAAATTCTGAGGCAAAACGACAAAAATGTAAGAGGGAGGAAAACGAGTGAAGGAGACAAAACAGTGATGGAGAAAATGGGATAAGATGGGAAAAAAAAGAAAATAACAGAAAAAAGAAGAAAAATAATAAAAAGGAAATAAAAGAAAAAAAGAAGAGAAAATAACAAAAAGGAAATAAAAGAAAAAAAGGAGAAAAATAATAAAAAGGAAGTAAAAGAAAAAAAGAAGAAAAATAATAAAAGGAAATAAAAGAAGAAAAGGAGAAAAGTAATAAAAAGGAAATAAAAGAAAAAAAGAAGAAAAATAATAAAAAGGAAATAAAAGAAAAAAAGGAGAAAAGGAAAAGAAAAGAAAAAAGAAGAAAAAGAAAATAAAAATAAAAGAAAAGAAAAAAGAAGAAAAAGAAAAGAAAAGAAAAGGAAAAGAAAAGAAAAGGAAAAGAAAAGAGAAGAGTAGTAGTAAAATAATTTTATTTTAAAGCGGTGCTTTAGCATCTAAGGCCATTTACACCTCTAAAGAGGGCAGTAACAGTAATAAATTTACATGGAAATATCACTAAAAATAAAAGGAAAGAAAATAGAAGAAAGAAAGAAAAAGAAAAGGAAAGAAAAAAGAAGAAAAATGAAGTTTGCTTCTACTACACTGACTACACTAACTACTCTAACTACTACACTAACTACATAACACTAAGAAGAACAAAAAAGAAAAAATACTTACCTGAATACTTACCAACCTGAAAAAAGAAAATAAGAAAAAATACTTACCTGAGATACTTACTTGTAATACTTACCTTCCTGAAAAAAAAAATAAAAAATAAAAATAAAAATAAAAGGGAACCCCACCTACCTGCCACGGAAAAAAAGGAGTTTGCGTCTGAGACACAAGGTGTAGGTAAAACGACGTTACTTAACCTTCCTTGCGTCTCGTAACTGCCATGTCAGGGCCGGAAACAGCCCTGAACGGCAGTCACGAGACACAGGGATGGTGAAGCAACGCCTTTTCACCGTTCCTCTCGTGTCGCGGACCCAAACTCCTTTTCTTCCGTGGCGGGTGGCCATGCTCAGATAAAACCCAAAATGCAGCAGCAATCAGCCTAAGGGTTGATGGGGCGGCCACCATCCAGCGGAAGTCCGGCCAGCGGTCGGGTCGGGTCTGCGGATGGCTCCTACTCGTGCGTCCAACGGTCCGACGTCCGACAGTCGGGCTGACGGCTCGCCGGACGGTCCTTCAGACATTCCGTCGGACGGTATTCTACCGACCTAACTTCACTTTCATCCTATTGTGGGATATTCAACTATGGAGCGCCATCCATGTCACAGCTGATAATGTTTTTTCACCGGGAATTGTATATTCCTAGGGGCTTGAGGAGGGGCCCTGTGAGTAAAGGGGGCGGACTGGCTGGGAGCCGATCACCCCCTATTGTTCGTTCGCCAATGTGCCTAACTGGGGGCCCCCCCTTTTGTTCGTTCGCCAATGTGCCTCACAGGGGCACCCCCCCTTTTGTTCGTTCGCCGATGTGCCTCACAGGGGGGCCCCCCCTATTGTTAGTTCGCCAATGTGCCTCACAGCACAGGGGGCCCCCCTATTGTTAGTTCGCCAATAAGCCTCACAGGGCCCCCCCCCCCCTATTGTTCGTTCGCCAATGTGCCTCACAGGGGGCCCCTTTATGTGAAAATTTGGGGGCCCAATTGAACACTTCTAACATTTAGGGCCCTCCCATCAAGCGGGGAGGGGGAGCGGACTGATTTAGGGAGCTTAGGGATGATCATGTCATAAACTTTGGTTTCATGTGCCTTACAGGGGCCCCTTCTGGCAAAATCTGGGGACCCCAACAGAAACTCTCACCCCTGGGGGCCCTTCTATGAAGAGGCTCCATGGACCCCAAATGTTTTTTTTGGCGGGGCACGCCTCTGAAAATGTTTAGCCAGTCCGTCCCTAATGAGATAAGACGAATTACGTGGGGGGAGGGGAGGATTTTTGCGATGCGGAAAAATAATTCGTTCGTAGGGCCATCCGCGGCCTCTGCTGAAC